TTCACAGTTGTAGCCTCCTAGGTGCGAACGGTTTTGCTCAGCGATCTTTGTTTACAATGGAAGGACTGGAAACGGAAAGTGACAGTGCCTAGGATCGGGATGATATTATAAACTTAACTGAACTGTTCCGTGGACAACCGGCGTTGTGATCATACGTAAAACGTTTTTGAAGTTACCGTCGCCTTATTTAGCGTTTTAATTATGGATTTCAGCGTATTCATCATCATTAAGGTCCCGTAATAAATCTGCTACACTGTACTTATTTCTCGAAGCAAGAAGCAGTCAAACCTAAAACTTGCTAAAATCTTCGCTCCCGTCTGACTTCCCAGATCACCACGATAGCTGCCACGAACAATGTCTCTTCAGCGCACATTTCGATACGGAATGCGAATGAGGTTGTGCTACATATAACATGTAGCACGAGCAGCAGAATCACTAAAATTGTTTGTAAATTTTTCATACAGCAAAAGTAATAAAGCAATGTTATATAGCAAAAGTTATATAGCAGGTTTTGCTACATAGTGTAAATCCGGCTTTAAACTAAAGCTATGGACGCACCATAGATTAGCTATTAAGCATCAGCACTCATTTTGAATTATGTATATTTTGAGTTATGCACAAACTGCCTCCCTGTACATTACTTACGGGAGTTAAATTTGTTTTTTCGAGTTCGTTTGGCTCTTCTACCGGACCGATTTTCATAATTTTGGTCTCAAAGCTATGCAAGCACATATTTGTCATCATTAATCTATCAAATCAGTTGTACAAAGATTTTTAAAACTGAATTACTAGATTTAATTGAAAATCAATTAAGACAAATGGAAATTCGTTTAGTCTGCATTGTCTGCAGGTTTACTGCGGCAGGGGTATTTTGTACTACGATCGTATTTCTAAATAGTGCTTATCACCACTATTATAACATTTTTCAGCATAAAATTTCCTATAATTTGATACTTAAAAAGTTATTTTTACGAATATGAAAATGTTTACACATTTTTCAAGATGGCAGCCAAAAAACGTATTTTGCGCCACAGTACGGATGTATATTTTTAGTGTGTTGATTAGATGCATACTACCTACCATTCACAGCAAAAATCATTTGTGTTGCAATTAGTTCCACCTTAAGCTATATTTTCGATTATTTCTACTGCACTATAAGGTCAATACTTGAATAGGGATGCATAATATGGTCTCTCTATCAACTCGGTCAAATCCAGCGGTTGCAGAGGGTTCAGGACAAATTCGTGAGGATTGTGGGTGTGAAGTTGGGCCCTTCTCTGTCTTCTGCCAAGTTGACATTTGCACCCATCGTCCTGACGTCGTTCAATACTTGGTCAGTCCATCTCAATTTTGGACTCCCCAATGGACGTTTACTTCCAGGTGTGGCTCTCCAAACTTCATACAGTCTTGTTCCTCTCTCTCTTCTTAGCATTTGCCCTATCCAACTTAACCTTCTTCCTTTACCCATTGCAACAATATCTGGGTCGGTGAATAGTGATCTTAGCTCTCTATTTTTCTTTATCCTCCACATTTCTCCCTCTGGAACTGGTCCAAATATTTTTCTTATGACTTAATTTAAAAAAAATCCATGGGTTGTTGTTCATTTTTCTTGGACATTTGCTATGCAGACTAGTCAAAAATGACGTTTTACAGTAACCAAGAAAATGGGCGAAGTATAGAACCTAAGATGCCATTCTTTGTAATGAATAAAGACTATCTAGTCTCAGAAATATTGACTGAGCATATAAAACAAAATCTAAAACAAAAATATTGAAGTTTTGGATAAATGTTTTGTAGAGTTAAGAAATCCTTCATAAAAACCTGTAAATAAGAAAGCCATTTTATGACATAACATTTATGACATAAACATTTATGACATTTACACGAGTATAAAAGCATTAAAGAATATAACAGTCAAATGGTTGGTTACTTTCAAATTAGGGCTAGACATTCACAAAAGAAACATGCTTTGAAATAACTGGATGTTTTAATTTTTCCTAGTACCCGGGGCCGGCAGCGAACCGTAGAACATATCACTGCCATTACTTACACCACTGTTAGGACATTGTAAACATTACCTCATTATTTATTCCACTGTAGTCGGGCTGTAACTTTAATCTTCCTTTTCACCATGGTAGATTCTCAGTTTTATTAGTCTTACAACAAATGACCTGTTAGCGTCCCCTTTGTTTATGTGATCATGAATAGTATCATTTACCAACATACTATTGTAGCCTATCCTTTTGAAGCTGGAACTTTTCTTTTGATCTTCTACTGTATATTAAGTGGGGTCGCCGGAATTTTACCCCCTGAGTAGATCTGACGTCACTATGACGTAGTTTTCTGAGTTTGTTCTCGGACGGAATTTTAACCCCACGAATTTGGGAGTTTAATGAAAATAGACAGAGCGTGATTTAAATTAGCAATAAAAGCCGAAAGTTTACCCCCTGTCCGAATAACTAAGGTTTAGGCAACTAAAGATTTTTACCCCCATTCCATATTTTTACCCCCCGGAACTTTACCCCCCGGAAGCTTACCCCCGGATTTTTTTCTCCTAGACAGATAGAATTTGGCAATAATAATAAATTTTGTTAATAATACGCATTTTGAAATCAAATTGAATTAAAATAAGACTTTTTATATAAACGAGCAAAACTAAAAAAATCTTATAAAATCAAACCAGACAGCTGAATTTCACATTTAGCAGTACAACTATGTGCTAGTTTTGATTTATTTGTTTTAGATTGTGTAATTTATTATGGAGTTAAGTAAGATTCCACAACCTTTGCTGTATCAACCTACTGTTGGCCATAGAAAAAACATACTCCCAGGCTTTTCCCCTGAATTATCAAAGTGTAGATAATGTGACAATGGTTTTAGTTATATTTTTCACAGAAACAGTAGGATAACTGAAGTTTGTACATTTTTTAAATTATTTTAATGTTTTGTTTACAATTTAAATTTGCCTACAACATTTAATATAAACGGAGGTAAATTAAAGTTAACTGACTAAACGTCTTTCTGTAAAAACGCCAATTATGTATAAAATTAATTATTCTCGCCAAATTATATATCTGGACAGGGGGTAAAAGTCCAGGGGCAAATTCCGGCCCTCACACTCTAGGTTTTCTAATTTAATTTGTTTTGGTTAAATTCACATCCGCGAAAAGATGGGTTGTACTCCACCTTTAATTTATCAACTCAGGCTGTGCAACTCAAAAGCTCACGGCCGGAATTTTCCGCCTAGGCTGTGACGTCAGTTTTGCTCAGGGACATAAAATTCCAGGGGCATAAAATTCTGCTATTTCATTAAGTGTACTCCAAATCTCAACAACTATTTCAATAGACACCATAAACGTATTGACTTCGATAAACACAATGTCTATCCAAACCACGTACTGTTTATCCAACTATCTAAGCCACGTAGGATTGGCATGATTTTGTTGTGATGGTAGGTAAAATTGATAAAAGATCACTAAACTGTAAACAAGTCTTTTATATAGATTATAAAATATGAAGACCTATACAATTTAAAATTAAGACTCTTTTTAAAATTCCGTCTAAACAGGGATCATACCATGTTTAACGTAGGCTACCCTCTACGTAGGTTGGGTTTGTTCAATGTTCTTTCTGATTTAGAGATTCGAATCTCAGGCAATGTATCAAGTCCGGGCTTCTCCAATCAATTTACTATTTGTTTTAATTTTATAATAAGCAGAATTTTAAAACATACAGTCATTACGGAAATCCGATTAATATATATAGTTACTGTATGTGTTAAATAAACGTTTGGTCGTTTGTGGCAACTTCATATTTGAGTAAATATTTGAATTCCTGAAAGTGATCAAAAAATCTCTTAGCACCAATTCACATTGTTACAAATACAAAGGCAATCACACACACTCACACATACACTCATCGCCTACATATAAACACGTTTACTACGCATGACTTTGTCGTGTAGTGGGTTGGGTTAAATTTTTTTTTATCAGAATTTATTTTACAATCTGTTCAAACATGAGAACAATAAGTAAAACATATATCTAAAAAACAATGCCAGGAAGCAAGCACCTGTTCATCAACAAGTCTTGTCAAAAATTGGATCAGTCATTTAAATATTTACAGAAATCTGTAGCTTAGGTCCAGCACATGCACAACACTTTTTAACCTGGTAATGCACTGGCTATTGTCCAGCAGATTAACAGCAAGACTGTTCGGATGGTATTCTATTTTTTTTTTCTTTTTTTTTGCTAAGGTCTGTAATTTCTTCTTTCACTGATTTAATTTTGAAGTCATTCCTAATTGTAGTGTTGGATACGAACCAGGGAGCGCCAATAATTCTTCTCAGTGCCTTAGCCTGAAATCGTTCAAGAATTTCGATGTTGGGTTTGCTCGAGGTCCCCCAAAGTTGAATTCCGTATGTCCAAATTTGTTTGATCATAACTTTATACAGTAAAATTTTGTAAGCTAATAATAATTTTGAATTCGTACCTAGTAGCCAATTGAGTTTACGAAGTTTTAATTCCATTTGCTGTCTCTTGCACCAGATATGAGATTTCCAATTTAATTTTTTGTCAAGAGTTAGACCTAAATATTTTACACTGTCTGCCTCCGTTAAGGCTACATTATTAATGGTTACTGGAGGATTGTAACCTGTTCTCAGAGTAAAAACAATATGTTTGGACTTGTTTTCGTTGACTTTTATCCTCCACTTTTTAAGCCAATATTGGAGCTCAGTCAAGGCAGCTTGTAAATTTATGTAAGCGACTTGAGGGTCCACATGACTCGACAACAGTGCGGTGTCATCAGCAAACGTAGCAACTGTGACGTTGGGGACCATAGGGATGTCTGCTGTATATATCAAATATAGCAAGGGACCAAGAACACTCCCCTGAGGTACTGAGGGTTAAACAAATAAAAGATCACATTAAACGAGTATTTATGACATCTGAACCGGATGTTCTATAATCAACTCAACAACTACGTAGATGGGTACTTACGGATCCTCCGCCAGCGGATTCTCCGAAGAGCGTGCAGAGTTCTGGGTCGCCGCCAAAGTTGGCGATGTTCGCCTTTATCCACTGAATGGCCAGGGCCTGGTCCCACAACCCCAGGTTGCCAGGGGCCTCCTCGCTGCCTGTGGGCAGTTCTGGGCTCAGGTAGAGGAACCCGAAGGCTCCCACGCGATATTGCATGGACGCCACGATCACATCGCTGGTCGCAGCGACCATGTCTGCGTCGTAGATGTCCAGAGTGGCAGTGCCCGACATGTAGCCGCCGCCATAGATCCAAATCAGTACCGGGACCTGGAAAGTAAAAACATGTGAATGTTACCAGTTAAATACCATATGTAATACACATCTGTGACCAGGTGGAATGTATCGATACTTCAAAATCTGGTAAAAACACAAGATTTGAAATACATAAAAAATATTTTAAATACACAAGTCACTAAAATAAGTTAGGGTTGCTTCATCTGACACTGCTAATTCTTATAGTAGAATTTAGCTAATCTACATTTGTTATGTATTTGGTAATCGTTCACAAAATCGCAATCGTTAACTGTCTGAGTTTTATACCTGAACTCTATAAGCAACTCAACTACACCTGTCTGAACGTATACCTGATCCTCGATGTACTTTCCTTGGATTTCCAGGAGTAGCGACTTCGTTGGTGTCATATCGGTTCAGAAGTAAACTTATTCTGTACTTCAAGCATATTTGTTTACTACTGGTATGAATCAAAAGTTGTGTTATGACTTGACAATGTATTGAAAAAAACTATCCCTCTACCGATGCGTGAATAACCTTTTGTAGAAATGAACATTATATAAAATACCTTTCGTAATATATCTTTATGACGGCTCACGTGTAGTCATATTGACTATTCTTCTATTATTCTTACACTGGGCTTAAGTGTATGATTTTACATAACTCTTTGTTTATAGTGATCTTGGTACCTCCGCCGGGCAAACCGTAGCGCAATGCCCTGTTATAGATGTCAAATATATGCCTCATAACTGCCTAATCTTATAGATTCATCCACCCTTATAAATGTATTATTCCTCGACTGGAATCTAATCCGTGCTATATCACGTCATCACATTTTATCAGTAAATAAGTAACTTCTTGACCAGCATTGTACGTGTTATTCAACTTACGGAAAGTAAATAAAAGAAACATCTTATAACACTTAAAACATATATTTACGCTTATACAGTTACTCACAAGATGGTAAATATACATCAAAGATGGTAAGTGGTGATCGATTTCAATCGTACACTCCAATCATCATCCGACCCAAATTCACACAATGTCATTCGTCTATTGGGTCTGATGATGATTGGAGTGTACAATCGAAATCGATCACCACTACCATTTTTTATGTATTTTAACCATCTTGTGAGTAACTGTATAGGCTTAAATACATGTTTTAAGTGTTATAAGACGTTTCTTTTATTTACTTTCAGTAAATATAAGTAGCATTTCAAATGGTTTTAATTTTTATTAATCTTGTATGAACTGATTATTTCTAAACATTAATAGAACGTTAAAGCATTAAAACATATCACTTTTGCTGACAAAAACACTCAACCGATCCATCTCAATATTAATTTTATACTTTAAATTTAGATTTAAAAGAAAGGATAAGAGTTTTGGCAAATAGATTTTGCTAAAATAATTAAGTTATGAAACACTAATTGCAAAGTAACAAGTATTACATGTTATACTGGAATTTTTAAGTTAAACCTAATTATGAAATGTGAAAAAATCTATAAATCCTATACAGTAATTTTTTTGTATTTATTTTGCAGTATTTGGCAATGATAAGAAATAAAACAAAAATATCGCAGTTTGTGAAGAAATATTAGTTTACTTGTAATGAAACAACTACTAGCACAAGTAATGACATTTTTGTCAACATATTATATGTTACTATTTGATTTTAAGTTTTAAGTGTATATTAAATATAAAAGGTTGATAATTCTTAGAAAGTGATTCCTAACTGTATTAGCAAATGTTTTAAAAGCACACAAAAACCTCCAGGGGAAATTTGAGAGTCTCCCCAAGAGTCAAGTAAATTATGGGAGACTCTTACTGTTGAAAGTCATCTCTTCAAAGCATAAAAGATCCCTAAGGTTTAAAGATTTTTTCAAAACAGTTAAAATATAAGATAAAATGAGTTGATTGTTTCGAACAATACAAAATTGTGTTTTTACTAACCCTAAAAATGTATTTTTGTAAATGTAAAGTCGTTTATTATTGAATATGCTAAGACTCTTGTTTTATAATAGTTTTTAATTATCTTAGAGCTCCTATTGGATTGGAATTAACAATACCGGTAACAAAACGACAAAATAATCGGCCCAAAAGGAAGGTAAGGGACACATCTGTCATTAACATTTCCAATTTTTACATGAGATTAGCGTTAAAAAGGTAATCCGTTAAACTGCAGGGAAAAGTCACTGATCTTGTTACATAAATTATGACATTAACTTAGAGATAGTACAGTAACATATATTTATCTACGATTATTAGGACAGCTTATGACATTATACTCACTGGAATGACTTTATAGTTCTTTGTCATGTACTAATGCATCTATTTATAATATACAAGCCTTTGGAACAAGTATGTAAACCTAAAATAATTACTGATTTAATTAACCTAAAATAGTCGCCTATTAAATTATCTAATTGACTAATGAAAATTCGGTTGTATTTCAAACATAGGTAGAATGTACTAGGGACATACACGTATTGCAAAAACATGGCATTTATTCATTTATTTATTTCAACGAACATCTCCATTTTTATGGACATATCCTTTTAGTAGAAGATTAAATAAATGCTTTAAGCTCAGCTTCATATAAAATATTATATCTAAATTAAAATAAAAACAATATATAATAAAGACGTAACAAGTAAATATAAATAAATCGATAGATAAACAATAATTCAATATAATAAAACATGATTACAAATATACATTCTTAGGGTTGTTGTCAATAACAGGACATCAATAATAACAACATAAAACAAAACACTGTTTTATGTTTTAAGTTTAACATTACAATGTCTGAGTTAAACTCTGATAACAAATATCTCGTATTTTATATCCAATAAATAATATGTGACTAATTTCTTTCTATGAGAATGTCACTTAACTTAATACATACTGCAAATACTCAGTCAGACATTTTACTTAAACCGTCACAACCTAAACCAAAGTACAGAGTAACAATTTTAAGCCAAGGAAAATCGCTCAGCTGCTGGTTATGTAAAATGAAGAAAAGGGGAAAGAGATAAACATGATTTAGAAGGCAAACCCTTAACACAGCCGTGAAGTGGTAACGCTTGTGAAAAATATATAACAACCCCCGCCCTCCCCTCATTCTCCTCACCTTACCTACAACGCCAGAATACTCCGCTTCAGATATATGCTGGCTCTGTTTTAACGCAACCTTTGGTTGTGATTTGCCTCATGAACTTTGACACTGTTAAACTTTTACTTTTACAGCACAAAAATGCTAAGTTTATACTGTAGATGAATTGGCAACTTATAAGGGGCTTGCGTAGTTTATATATATCAGGAAAAACAAAATGAATACTATTGGGAAACATATTATATCATCAAAGCGTTATTTTAATCCTGTAAATAAAACTGTGAAATCATCATTCCCCAATATGGATTTCTAAAGTTTTAATCGTAAGTTATTTTAAAGAATGTAAATAAAAGGAACTACCGTTTTGTTTGCCCAAAGAGAAATACTGATTAAATGGGAGGTTCCCGATTAAATATTGTAGGTTTGTGCTTCAGCCAACTTGTTTGTTTTGAGATTCCTACAAATCTTGCACAGTAACTGCACATCCAGCTAAAAATCTTAATCCACCTAATAGACAGTTAGATGTATCCATTTGTGCGAAATTATTTTAATTTGAGGTAGGTTACTCATTCATACCAACTCTTTCATAAACGTGTATTGTAATGAACTAGACATTATAAAACCCTTATAAAAAACGAATTGTCATTATTAGCGAATTTCCCATTGAGGGAACAAGATATTACCGTAGGTTTCATGGTAAGACCTGGACCTGGGAGTGTTTTACTTTTTCGTTTTGAGGTCCCCAGAGGCCAAAAACACCATCCGTTCAAATTCATGGTTTCTGCAATTTATTTAAAATGGGTTTATCCATCCCACAAACAGTTTGTGTTGATATTATAAAACTCAAGGGCCTATACAAAAAATCTTTCTTAGATTCTACCCAAAACGAAAAACCTAATGAGGCCAGTGAAATGAATTGATGTGCTGTGACGTTACTGAATTCAAAATAAACTGTAGTTTTACTACATATATAACTTCAGTTCAATGTTAAAGCATATTTTTTTCAAAACTGCTTGCAATGTAATGCTACAAGAATCTGGGCATGTATGGAAGGGAAGTATGTAGCCAACCCTAAAGGCAATTGATTTGGAGAGTACTTGGGTTGCTGTACTCGGCCCCTCCTCTCAACCTCTATAATAAAACGCTCAAAGAGAAACAAATCTCGTGTGTCACCAACTTGTTAACGGGGTTTAAACGATAAATTTAAACAGTAATAAAAACAATTATAGAAATAATTTACTTTAATTGACTACATTTTCCACACTTCTAGGACATATATTTATATAATACATGGAATCTTCTTGAAATTTGTTTTACTAAGAATTCGCATTACATGAACATCAAAAGTAAATACTTCGTGATAGACTATATGCAAAGAAACTTATAAATAACAAATAACAAGCCAGTCAACACAACAAAATAGAATAATCAGCCTATTCAATGATAATAAAGTATCATGTTTTTGGCAGTATATAGGGGAAACAGTAAATTTTAACTGCAACAGCTCATATTTTTCTTTTCGGTACCTATGCATTTCAAATTATTTTTCCTTAGCTAGTCAAATTTTAATTAAAATTAAAGTTAGTTAAACACTTTTAAGGAAAATTGGTCCAAATACATTAAAGTGTTGTGAATATGCCGGGAATTGAACCCGTCTCTCCCACACCAATGTCCAAGACGCTAACCACTAGGCTAGCAACACAACCAACACACCTTTGAATAAACATAAATATATTAGTATAAATACATAGTATATTTTTATGTACCATACATTGTACTTATATATTAAATTAAAAAAAAAAATTGGAACTATATAAAGTGTCAACACAGATTTGTTTTTACTACCATCCATTTTTTGCTAATACAACTTTGTCTTGGTGGTTTAAAATTCTTCTTGATGTTCATGCAAACTCTTAAGTTT